ACACACTTCACAACTAACAAGCCATGCAAAGGCCACAACTTATGTAGTTGCAGCAACCATCCTGATGCAACTACACAAGAGTGGCACTTGTATATTTACATCATTGTACACTTATCACTTTGGTATCATCATACTTCATTGCTGAAACTGCTCTGCCCAGTGCATACTAGTCCATCTCCAACTCCCTAAATTTCTGTGTGTTTCTGATGGTTTGTTCTTGTTTTTGCTAATCTACCTGAGACTGAAAAAGCAGGTACGGAATATGGGCTGCAGGCTGTCTGTTTAGCTCTACAAGATACAATTTGTGAAACTCTAATCAAGTGACCTCTGTCTTGAGATGTCAAGGGTTGGGATGGTTTTTGTGGGTTTTATCCTTGTAAGTCACCTGGAATCACTGAGAGTGAGTTGAGCAGTCATATATAAATATTTTTTTTGTTTAAAATTAAGTAAATAAAAAAATTCTACAAAGGGTTATATATAGACATAGTTTTTATATGCATGCATAGAATGGTCAAGAACCCCCTTGACAACATTTCAATGGCAATTTTGAGATGTTAAAGAGATTAATCCCGGGCAATATGATTTTCCCAACATAGATTAATTATAATATGGGCTGATTTACGAGGCAAGTTTGCTAACAGTTGGAAATATCCATTATCGGTTTTTCTTTCAAAGAAACACTCATACCTCATTTGAATAGGATGTGACATGTTTATTTATCTAAGAAAATGTATATGGTTGCTCAGCTGACTCTTAGTGACTCCAGACTACTTACAAAGATCAAAAACCACATATTAAAAAAATAACAATAAACTCCTAGCCCCCTGGTGACAGCACTCAATCAATCAAATAAGTCACTTGACAGGTTCCATCGCACTCAGGCCACAGGCATGTTGGCAAAACCAGGTCAGGGTTTTGTGAAGATGTCATGACGGGTCAATGTTTTTGGTCATATCAGAGCTGGGATTATTTTCTTGCAGTGCACTGATGATGTTACCTAGTTTGAGTAATAAAGCGTCAGCAAGAAGACATGAAAAGAAAGCAACCCCAGAGAACACCAAGGACCCCTAATTGCAACTCTGAGCTACAATTATTCTGCTTTATGGGTCAATATTCCTCCACCCAAGGACATCCCAGTCCCAACTAGCAATTTAATCAATTATCAAGAGATTAGCACTGTCAGGTTATACAAGGCTGAAATCTGTAGTTTGTACTTGTAATTTGAAGGTAGTTTACATGGTTAGGACACTGGGTTGACGATTAACAACCCTGTGTTTGAGACCCGAGTGCTACTGCATGATGGGGTGAGCTCCTGCCATTTGCTCCCACTCATCCTAACCTAGCAGTTCAAAAGCGTGTACTCACGGATAGACAGATAGGTACTACTTTGGTGTGCACATTAATAGGGGCATAAAAGGAGCCCCAACTGGGCATCCCCTGAACAACGGTGATGTTACTAGCTAATCCTTTCAACCCAGAAGCACCTTGGTGTTTCTAACAATGAATGCGAGCGACTTGCAATAAAAAAAAATATCTTTAAAAATTGTTTTAGGTATATGCACCTACATATACATAGACACTCACTTTACTGAAAATGCAAGTATATAGCCATATTTTGATGTTCTTCAAATAGTAATTGGCTGAATGAACACCATTTTGTGCTATACTGCTGTAATGTAATAGTATTTAAACACTAATCACACTGGCACTGATTGAACAGGCCTTACCTTAAATTAGTCTGAAGAATAGCACTGAAATGCAATAGAGATCACATTACTTGATTAAAGCAAATATCCCTCACTTGGCTTATTCTGAAAATTCTTCAAGAAAGAAAAACTGAGGAAAGCAATTCAATTGCCTTTCTTGTTCTCTTGTCAGGATGCCACAAAAACCATGAGAATATCCAAACTGATGTCTAGGACAATGGCCTTTTATCAGTTTTATATTACAGAAATCAAGCAATCTCCTTGAAAAATCTATACTGATTCTAATTTTAAATCAGAATGATAATGATAACACTATCACTATCCATCTATCTATTCATCTAATCACAGTAGTCTTGCTATATTCATACATGAATAAGAGTTTCTAATGCTGAAATACTGTATTGTAATTGTACTTAAACTTGAAGTACTTAAGTGTTTAAACTATTATAAATGTCTCTTCATATTCCTCAGAGATCTTATTTCAACAGTCAGTCTAAGTATTCGCCATCTTTCTCTTCCTTCTCAATGTTTTGTTATATCAAGTGTTTCCATCTGCATGACAAAAAATCACTTAAATCAAACCCAGTACCAGCCACAGATTCCCTTATCCTTTCCTACCTATTCAGGAATACATTAGCTGATTAAAACTAAAAAGAAAACCAGATACAAGTGTGACAAACATAGCATTATAAATGAAAATCAACTTTATAAATTCATCTGAACAAAGTTCTCATAGAAGAGTTCTTCATAACAAAACATTAGAATTCATGTAATTTTTCGCTATCATAACTTACCTAGAAACTAAACACAGAAATTGATCCTTGGGGAGGAAGAATACACAAAAACAGAAATACAATCATGAGCCAAGAAATATGGCTGAAATCCAAATCAAATATTCTTCCACATTGACAAATTTAGATCAATGGAACTTACTACTTTCAATCATAATGGATTTATAATATACAGTACTCTGGATCCTATCCCAAAGAGAGTTACCCAGCTAATAAAAATAAGTAATTGATGAGCAATCAAGTCATATGTGGACTGAAATTGATTAAGATATTTGTGGCTCATTTTTCCTTCATAAAAATGTATGAAGACGTTACTCAATTGCTACAAAGTATATTAGAATTGTTAGATTTTCATGGAAAATCAAACAAAATATTTTAAAATAATAAGGTATTTGAGCTTCACACTGCACATGTGAATTAAATTAGTAGACATCTACAGAAGTATTTTGTTTAAAGAAATATAACCTTTTAAAAGGTATCCTTACACATTTTTCTTCTGAATTTTAGTATTTTCTTGGAAAAGAAGCCAAAGTATATATACTATTGTAGATATTTTTATTGCTAAGGGAGGAACCTTTTTCTCTCCAAACCTAGAGAACTCCCCATCTATTCTGCCTATTCTAAATCTGGGCAAGCAAACAATAAGATCTACTCTTAGTCTCTTGCCATCATTCCACATGTGGTGTAATCATTCTCTGGCAATGTTATTGTTTTGCTGTGGTGGCAGACTCTAATGATAGGCATACAAAAGTACATACAAGAACACAACAGTTTATTTGCAAAATATGATTTCTGATGCACTTTTGTATTTCCCCCAAAGCCAATCTGATCACTTGAGTCACTTATTCTGTTCTTGTAAACTGAGCATCCATGGTTGATGCTCAGAGCCCATGACTGCCTCAGATTACACATACACACACAAATTGGCATTTGCCCAGAATGGCTAAACAGCCCTGTTCACAGTCTTGTACTTGAACAGAATAAAAACAGGAAGAGTCTGTGATTTGTGTCAAATACACAGGGTAGCAGCAGCCATGCTATGCTAATGAAGCTTGAGAAAGTGTGATTGTGTTTTCATGCATGAGTTGCAACTGTTAAATTTAAAAGAAAGAAATCATTTTTAAATTGCCAGTGAAAACTAAAGAATTTTAGGCAGAGAACTATCTTATATACAGGCCTGAGGTTAATGTTTGTGTGGATGGTGCTGGTATGTCTCTATTACTGTGGTTGTTTTCAGTTAGGGCTCTGTTTTTGTTTATGTTTTTAACTGTTTTTACTAAGTATCAGGTTTTGTAAACTAGCCAAAACTTACTGAAGGCTGGGTGGGGAGGTACAATGAACTTAATGAAATAAGAAAAATAAATGAAATGCAGGTAGATGAAGTATGGCTCTCAGATGTAAACACACAACTACTATTTCTCTTCTCTGTTCCCCAAGTCCCTTCTTTGTAAGAGATTTCATATTCGAAATACGCTATATTGCCAAAAGTATTCGCTCACCCATCCACATAATCAGACTCAGTTGTGAGTGAATACTTTTGGCAATATAGTGTATATTTGCCAGTACTAACAAATATGCAGCTTCACATTTCAATGAATATAATGAATAAAGGGGCCAATAAGTATCTCTAGTCATATATATGCTGAGTTAATTGTGTTGTGATTGTTGATGGCCACTATTAATTTTTGAGTGATTCATTAGGAGTTTTCTCAATTAAAGGATCCACAATTTTTGTCAAGAGCTGTGGATATAAGAGGTCTCATCTCCCTCCTTGCTAAAACCTGTAAGATAAAAGACAAAGGTTCTGCATGCCTTAAGCATCTGGAGCAGAGAAATATATATTGGGGGAGGATGGGGGGAGATTAGAAAATCACTCTCTTCAATACATATGTGCATGCACACACACACAATATTATACCAGACCATTTATAGTAATTAAGATGGTAAATATTTCTATATTTTTGCAAGTGAAAAATGAATAAAAAGCTTGATGTAGTTGGCTCTAGTTATGATGACCCCATCCTCCATCCCATCCCATGATTCTGTAAAAATCATCTGTGCTGCTAATAAAGTATATACTTTAATGAATTTAACGGAAGGTATTATGTTTAGTGGAGTTCAGGTCTAATTAAATATATGTAGGATTGCAATCTAAAATGTACATCATCTGAGGCAAAGATGAAGAAATTTATTCTCAACTTACAGATTCTTTTTTCTTTCTGTGTATCCCTGTACATATAAGCAGTGAAATCAAAAGATCAGAAAATCTAGAAAACACAGCCTGTGTCAAAGCTTACAAGAATGAAATGGATAGAAATCTATGCCATAATAAAGCCATTACAGTTCAAAACACTTTTGTTTTTCTTAATAGATTGATGTGAATTACCCATCTGGGATGTTTTTATCAATAAGTAAAAAACATGACCTGAGGAAAGATTTGTGTCCATGACATCTACATCAATTTTTTTAAAGGCATAATTATACAGTTAACACTTTACATTACCTTTCTGGACATGGATTATGTCTGGGAAGTTGGCCAGATGTCCCTGATACAGAGCTAATAAATCCATCACTGGGTCCAGGTCCTGTCTGGGTTGGTCTGCGAATAGTTCACCAATAGCATCATAAGCTTCTCCAGTGAAGGCAATGGCCTGATTGAGGCCAACTGAAAAAGCCTGCTGGTCCATTTCAAAGGCTTGGCTGAGGCCCCTGAAGGAGTGTCCCACTTTCTGGTATTCCTTCTTGAACCCAGCAACCTGCTTGCGGGCAAACTCATTAACAGTTTGGTTCAACTGAATGGTGCTATCATCCATTTTTTTGGTGAAGCTTTTGAAGCCATCTACTTTGCTTTCCACCTCCTGCAGGTCCAGAGCAGCAGGGCCACCAGCAGGGACGCTGATGGTCAGGAAGAAGTTAGCGCCCACCATCTCATCCTTCTCAGCTTTGCGCTTGCCTTGTTTCCAGGCCTTCTCATCCGTGCTGGGACAGGTGAGGAAATGCTGGAAGGCATCACACTGGGCCAAGACGGGATGGCTGCACATGTGGTCCATCCACCACGCTAAGCCTTTGCGGCGCTTGGAGATAAAGTCCTCCTCAAAACGGCCGGTGGCTTGTTTCTCCGGCAAGTGGGGTACGGAGATGACGGGGAACTTCTCTACCAGGCGGCCATAGAGCCAGTCAAAGTGCTTGTAGCGCCGGTTCACCTGCTGCCCTGTGTGGCTTGGCACCAGCTTGTAGGCAATGTAGCTCTTCATGCCCTTGAATTTGGTCTGCTTGGTGGGGTCTTCGATGGAGCACTGGAAAGGGTAAGGGTTTTCCTGCCACTCGGGCCCATAGGAGCCCAGCACCACGCACAGTTTGTCCCCGTCCTTCACGAAACCCGACGCCTCACCCAGCACAAAAGCTTCGCCTCCGGATTTCACGAAGGTGGAGAAACGGTTCAAATTGCGGCTGACGGTGGCTGAGCTCTTGGCGGCGCCGCCGGCCGGGTGATGCAAGGGGCCCCCAGGCTGGCTGCTCCGGGAGCTCAGCGACAGATCGGACCGGGTGGAAAGGGAATACCTACTGGCAGAGCCTCCCGCCCCGCCGACTCCTATGGCCGCATTCTCGTAGTCCGGGTAAGAGCTGCCTAGGACTCCCGGCTCCTCCGCCACGGTAGAGCTGTCGTCCCAGTCATCGTCCCAATCGTCGTCGCTGCCTTGACTGGCTTGGTAAGAAGAGGAGCCGCCGCCGTAGGACCGCGCCGTCTGGAAGGAGGAGAAGCCCGACGAGGCGGCCGGCGGAGGCAGCTGGAAGGGCTCGGCGGCCGGCGGAGGCAGCTGATGATGCTGGGCTGCGACGGGCGGCGGGTTGAAGGCTGTCGCCGGCGCCGCCAAGGGCTCAAAGCCGCCGGACGGCACGTTCGCGTAGCGAGACGGGACGGGCGCGGGCGGCGGGAGCGCCGGCTCGGCCACCGGAGATCGGATGACCTGCACGTAGGAGGCCGGGAAGAGGCCGCGGTCGCCCCGGCTGTTCACCCCCTCGAACCAGCCCTCGATCTCCTGGTCGCTGCACAGGCTCAGCACCTCGTGTTCGCGCAGCGAGATCTCGCCCGGGTTCTCCGACCTGAAGTCGTACAGCGCGCGGGCCCGCAGCAAAGCCATGGCCCCGCCGCCGCCGCCGCTCCGGTCGCCGCCCAGGCAAGGATGGAAGCCGAAGGGCCGCCTCACAGCGGCGCCAAATAGACGCAGCTCGCGCCCCCCGCCGGCCGGCCGGCCGCGCTGCCCGCCCCTCCGGCGAGCCAACGGCCGGTCCGCCTCCCTCTGCCGGGACGCCTCCTCCGCCTCACCTCGAGACCCCGCTCCCTCTCTGCTGCTCCTCCGGAAAAGACGCGGGAAGGGCAGCCCTCTCCTTCGGCGGCCGCGCTCTCCAACCGAGCGCCGGAGTGCCGCTTCGAGGCGCCCAGGGAAGGGGCCGGGTCGGGGGACTATCCCACGTCGCCAGTTTCACTAATCCAGAGCCGAGAGAAAGGGGCGGGAAGCCGAGCCCAGAGCTGCCGCCCCCATCGATGGGACCGGAGCGGCGGCCCGAGACTTTGGGTTGGCTTCTTGTGGTGCGCCGCCTGCCCTCTGGCGTTCGGCGCGGGAGGGACGCCGCCTTGGAGCGAGGGCAAAGCCGCTGAAACGGCCTCAGGCGCTGAAAAAGGGAGTCTGGCTCCGGGGGCCCCGTAGGCTGAGGTTGGATCAGGACCATTCGACGGGAAGCCCTCAATAGCGATTGAAGTCCAGTCAGGCGCCCTGGAGTTTTCTTCCCAATCACTGTGTATAAACTTGGCCTGTTTTTTGATCAGTCTAGAGCCCTGGTATTACTTTGTGGCCTCCCATCCAAATATTAAATAGGAGCCTCTGACTCTGCTTAGCTTTTTCAAAGGCAGAGGATTTAAATATCGGACCGCTGTTGTTGGTGGCATCAAGGGCATATCTCCCTGTTTGTTTTCTTGGCAACATAGGGCTGTTTTCTTTGCATTCTGTAATGATTTTCAATCTTGATTAAGGCTCCCTCTTAAAATGCTAATCAAGGCCAAACCCTGCTTACCTTTTTAAGATCATCCAAGTCTGGATGATCTTAAATGAATAATCCTGATAGTGATGGTTAAGTAGGGAAATCAGAGGAGAAACCAAATTGGGAAAATAAATAAAGAAATTAAACCCACAATATACTTAAACATATAATGATTTATGATTTAAACAAAAATTAAAAGTTGGCTTACATTGAATGTTAATTTAAATTTGAATACATTTTAATAACTTATGGACATACCCTCCCTTCCTCAATTTGATTTGAGTAAAGTTCTTTTAATGAAATTGTTTTTAACATTAATTCCACTAATGCATTTTTTGCCTAATGCCCAACATATAAGTACACATGGAAATACTGATGATAAGCTTTAAATATATTTTATATTTTAGAATTGTGTAGATTTGATAAATTGTGAATTGAATTAGTTTCTTTCCTGTCCTTAGACAGAAATTAATATGAGGCATTCACATTTAATCCTATAGCTGCTCTTTTAGGATTGTCCTAATATAACACACAAATACTCATAATCGGCTACCTAATTTTAGGTAGCCTGAACCTAGTTTCAGGTAAAATATGATGACAGATTAACATCACTACACTTTCCTGGCCCTTGTATTGAGGGTAGTACAGGGCCTGAAACCTGGTTGGGCAAATTACTGTGAGGGCAACTTTCTTCCAATTGGGTTTCTGTGACACACCTCAAACAGATGGACATAGTCTTATTATAGACAGATAGGCAGACAGGCATTAACCAGCATTAATTGAGTGCTGGCACCCCAGTGATCTGGATTGGGTCAGAAAAATGAGTCATACATAACCTATTGGAATCTTCTCTTCCCCTTAGAATAGCCTACTTCCTTGGCTCAATAAAAACAGGATATTACAACCGTGTTCCCCTCCAATCCACTCCTGGACCTAACACCATCTAACATGGGCAGTGGAGACCCATGTCTTGCCTGCCCCAAGCTTCTGCCTCTAGTCAGCCATGTAGGGGTCACTCATACTCACTCATAGAGTAAAGGAATGTCCACCTCCCTCAAACCAAATCCACCAAAACCAAGCTATTTAAATTACCATATCATGCAGGACGGTATACATTCTCACTACTGGCCAGGCCACTGATGAGATTCAATTTTTTTTACTACTCGTTCTGAGGGCGTGGTATGGCTTGGTGGGCGTGGCTTGGTGGGCGTGGCAGGAGGAGGATACTGTAAAATCTCCATTCCCGCCCCACTCCAGGGGAAGGATACTACAGAATCTCCATTCCCTTCCCACCCAACTCCAGGGGAAGAATACTATAAAATATCTATTTCCACCCCACTCCAGGGCAAGGATACTGTAAAATCCCCATTCCCTCCTCACCCCACTAACCTGCTTTCCAGCTCCGTTCTCCTGTGGAGGGCAACAGAAAAAGACCCAGACAATCAGCTGGGATCAACTGGGACTCAGGAGGCAGCAAATAGTTGGGAGGGGAGCCAGCCAGAGGTGGTATTTGCGTGTTCTTTGAACTGCCTAAAATTTCTGCTACCGGTTCACCAGCGTTTCTTCAGCGTTTATGTGGGTTCATCTTCCATAGCTATGTATTACAACTAGATTAATTACAGGATTTACAATACATACCTTTGTTATCAGCATAATATCTCTACATACTAAGATTTTGCCTGGCTTTGTCATAGTGTTTAGTCCAAGAAGCATATATTTCTCTATTTCACAGTTTTATTCACATGTCTGGCTTTTTGAGCCCAGGAAGATAAATATCTATTATTACTTCCATTATTTTTTCATCTACTTGTAGCAGGTTGATACAATTGATATAATTTTAGCTTCTTTGAAATATTAAACAACAGACCAATCACCAAGAGGTTCTTTAATGTTCCTTACTTCATTATGGTTTCATTAGCCAATCTGAGATTCATATTTTCCCTGGATTTTTATATTCTGATTTATGTTTATTTTAGTCCAGCATTTCTCAAGATATGTCTGCATGTAGACTAAACAGAAAGGGTGACCATATATAACTTTGGCATTCTTCCTATTTTTGGACCAATGAGTTATTCCATATGCTATTCTGACACTTGCTTCCTAGTTATTATGGATTTCTTAGGATGCAGATGAGGGGCCCACAATTTGATTTATTTCTCTCTCACCAATATCCTTAGTATGATCAATAATGCAACAACAAATTTATTTCTGAAATCAGCTTGAACTTGTGCTAGGTTCTCATTGCATTTATTCTTGAAGTTGGATTGGAAAATCTTAACCACGTTCTTAAGATATGAGGTAAGCATAACCGTTCAGTACTTTGAGCAATGTTTAGTACTGTGATGTATTTTCTATAGCTGCTTACAAACTGAGCAGCATGTCAACAGCATCATGTAGTATGGTTTTCAACAGGTCTTCTGGCATGCTATCAATGCCCATAGCATTGTTATTAGCAAAAATTTAGGGCGCTTTAAATTTCATTTTCCAAGATGCCATGTTCCAGCTTGCTGATTCTATCTCTACATGTAGAAATGATGTGAGGCTCATTTTTGTATAGTTCTCACAGTCATCTATCTCATCTTTATATCTCCTTTATTGACTGGGTCTTGGTCTTTGTCCCATTCGTGGCACGACATAACTGCGAACGTCAAAAGCGCGCTGACAAAACCGCGGCGCTAAAACCGCGATGTCAAAAGCGCGCCGACAACAGCGCGCCGACAGAAGGCGATTTAAGTTAAGG